TTAGAATGCCCAGTTTGGATTCTGGCACTACCACTTGCTAGCTGGGTTTATCAAATAGGTCAATATGTATAAAGTACTTAGAACAGTGTTAAGCTTCTTAAAAATATTTTAATAAAATTGTTACATTTCTTTTTTTGGGAGGGAGAGGTTTTTGCTATAGGGCGCGTGCACTCGCCAGACAGACAGAGAGGGCCATAGAAGGCTATCTTTCTTTTTAAATGGGGACCACACTAGAAGACTGTCCAAACAAAAGTGTAAAACTCAGAATGAAACCCAGAATGTTCATTGTAGGCCTATACCACAATCACTGAGTGCTAGAACTTGTCACTGCAAAGGGGCTTGTTGGGCACACACAGGGACACTGAGGCCTTTTCATTCACAGCTCAAGCAGCGGAAGCTGGAGCACTGTGAACAAAAGGCCTTTCTCAGATATATCACTAGTGCTCTAAAATAACAAAGAGCTTCTTCACATGCTTTCTTCCTCAATCCTTTAAAAAGTGTTTCCTACTCAAAAACAGCTTTCAACTGATGGCCACTTTAAGTGATCCCATGCTGATTTTAGCCCACAGCCCATCCATTCTTTCAGTTCTAACACAGCACTGCCTACACTGATCAAGAATTTTGGGGAGCAGGTGATACACCTCACAAGAACCAACCATAGATTAGAGTTGGACAAAATCATCTACCAACAAGACTCTAATGTTAAGAGATCAACTCTGTCAATACCAGTGTGACAAAGAATCTGTCATAAATAAATCTTATTTTTCAGTACTCTCATCTATATTGTGGGAAAACATTTGAACAATAAGGGTATTCTGAAGAGCTAAAAAAAGATGAGTTTGGACAAAAGGAGTCTGAAGGCTTTCATTTTATTAGGCTGTCAGAAAGTCATGACATATTCTTCTGCTTCTATGCAAAAATACATCATGGTTTTTCCAACAACCCAATAATAACCATGACCCTATCTGTTACTCAAATGGTTTCTAAGTCAAATGTAGGGATTCTTACTTCTTCATTATCCCTGCTGATTTCTAAGTATCACATTATACTTTTATAAGAGAGTGACATTATAAATATCATAAATGACACCATTTATGATATTTATCAACTGACAGCTTAAAGTGTAAACTGTAAGTATTAACCTGGGATTCCCAAGACATTGAAAAAATGGACAAAAATAACAGAACAAAATGAGAGAAATACCTCTTTCTGTAGCATGCACCAGCAATCTATCCAAGAAGTATATATCGGGGAGTAGGGAGGGGACCCACCAGCAAGCCTGAAACAGAATATAATATTAGCTACTCATGTTACTATCAAACAGTCTCTCATGTCTCTCAAGAATTTGATTAAATTCTGTCAAAATATTCTCCTACTTATAAGATGCGCTTAGAGGCGATTTTAGTTTTAATAAAACAAACTATATTGGAGCAGGGGAAAGAGCAAGCATCTATAAGGGATTTCCACCACTATATTTAGGATTCAAATTAATAGAAATTTTAATCTTGTTTTCTAAAACATTTAGGTTTTTCATTTGTGGACAAAGAACTCTAGAAAATAGCAATCATATGATTAAAGAGCAGACAAAGGGAACTTAAAAACAAATTGGTGGGCCAACTGGTGGTGTGGTGATTAAGGCAGCTGGATCCCACATGGTCAACTGGGCAGTTTGAATCCTGTACCCAAAACGCTTCAAAAACACTCTGGACACATGTGTATTCCCCAAATCCCAAAAAGTGAATGGAGGAGGGACCAGCAGTTAGCGTAATGGTTATGTCGCTGGATTCCTATGTGGTCGACTGCGGTTCGCATCCCGGACCCGGTGGCTTAAAACTCACGCCGGCTACTTGTGCGTGCGTGCCCAAGATCCCGAGAGGAGAATGGAGAAGGGATTGCGGCATGGCCATCCCCCCTGGGGGATGATTTCTCGCATTCTGTCTGTCTCTGTCTGGCGAGCACATGCAGGCCCTATAGGAGAAGGAACTGTGGCATGGCCATCCCCTTTGGGGTGCGTTCTCACTTTCCCTCTTTTTCCAGCGAGCACAAGTACCCTATAGCAAATTGAAAAAAACAAAACAAACAAACAAACAAAACACCAAAACTAATTGGTGCTCACAAAGATATGTGACAATAGGGGACCAGTGGAAGGTGTAATGGTCAAGGTGCTGGACACTCCCACATGGCCAACTAAGGAATTCTGGACCTGGTGGCTTGCTTTCTAACTTTCTCTTTCTCTCTCTGGCCAAAATAAGAAAAAAAAAAAAAAAAAAAAAAGCCCGCAATTCTTTTAAAAAGAAAAGATACATGACAATAGATATAAACAGAGGTTACTACATGCTACTTAGATATAACCCAGTGCTCACAAATAACCTGAATGCATGACAACAGATATAACAGAGGTGACTATATATTCCTGCTCAGGTATAACCCCTAATCATTTCCCCTTGAGAAAATGGTAAGGAGCAATAATATTAACATATTGAACTAATTTTTCAAGTATGTTCCAGGCTGAAACATGGCTGTTCTGTTAATCAGAAAACAAACAGAATGTTGGGCTGGCAGGTGGTGTGGTGGTTAAAGTGCTGGGCTCCCACATGGCAGACCACGGTTGGTTCTGGTCTCGAACCTGGTGGCTTGCTTTCTCACTCCCTCACCACTCTCCACCACTCTCCATGTCTCTCTGGTAAAATTAAATAATGATAATAAAATTAAATAATTATTTAAAAAAGAAAAGAAACAGAATGTAATGAGACAGTCATACTTTCTTCATAACTCCACCTAGCTATTTGGTATCTAGCTTGAAAACAATTATGTGTCTCATGGTATATTATATAAGGTACCATACTGGACAGAATTCCAAGAGCCAAATTTTGCCCAACTCTGGAGGGTCAGTTAGCATCTAGAGGTTGGAAATCAATTACCCACCTTCCCAACCAATAGAGAGAAAGGTTAAGACACTTTCCACAGACCAAACTTCCCACTTCACTTTCTTTAAATTGGCTTTCTCCATGAAGCCCCTGGGAAGAGCAGGTACAAGCTGCCACTCAATGCCTAACATACCTTTTGTCACTTGTGAAAGAGAGAGATTTAAAATAAAGGCAAGATGTAAAAATAGAATATGACAACTATTTCAATCTTTTGAGATAGGACCTACACTACTGGCATATGCACATTAATTGTAAATACTTGAGAAATATTATTTACATTCTTTCCTATTCCAAAAAAGAGTATGAGGCAGCTGCTTATAAGCTAACACACTGCTGCTGTCACAGGGGGGTGTGGGGGGCTTTCAGGGAAAGAAATCTGGGACCTAGTAAGAGCAGCGCTGCCTTTCCTTTCCCAAACTTCCACTAGGGCCACCTGAAGTCAGGCATACAGGCAGCCAACCACTAGGGTAAGAAATGCAGAGTACTTACCCACAGTTGTTGACAGCCATAAGATTAGACACAAGCACAAAGGGATAGGTCAACATACTGGCAAAGAACTGTGAAATGGAAAAGATACAGCAAGTTACTAGGTCATTCCTAGCTGCCTTCTTTTCTCTTTTCCTCTCAAAGTGTAGTGACACTGTGGTTAAATACGCTGACAGTCGTCTTGTTTTCTCATTATCCCTGCAAAGACTAAATTATACGTTTTTGAGTTTGTAGATGCTTCCTCCTCTTACCACACCACTACATCCAACACTGTCTTTTACCGTTTATTTATTTATTTCTTCCATGAGAGACAAAGAGAAAGACCGGCACTTCCAACAGAGTTCTCTTACAATGACCGGCTCCCAGTCTTAGCTGGCCTGGACTCTGGGTGTGTGTGTGCATGTGTGTGTATGCATGTGAGAAACCTGTGTGCTCAGGGAGGTCCTGGGACTGTCTTTTGGGGATTCAGCTGTGTTCAAATGCACTACCAGCTCTGGAAGATAACTCTTATTCTGGGAGTAAGTCCTCATTCAAATAAAACCAAACTTGTTAGGAAAACAGTCAATACACATAAAGCATATCCGGACACCCCAGAAGAAAGCCAGAAAATACAAACATAAAGACAAAATCTACTTTGGGACCAGCAGTTAGCGTAATGGCTATGTTGCTGGACTCCCACGTAGTCGACAGTGGTTCGCGTCCTGGAACTGGTGTTTTAAAACTCATGCCAGGCGCGTGTGCGTGTGTGCCCAAGATCTCGAGAGGAGAATGGAGGAGAAGGGATTGCGGTGTGGCCATCCCCCCTGGGGGGTGATTTCTTGCTTTCTGCCTCTCTTGTTTGGCGAGTGCACGCACCCTATAGCAAAAAAACTCTCAAAAAAAACCAAGAAAAAAAACTACTTTAAAAGTGACAATGGGGCGGGGCCAGCAGGTGGCGTGGTGGTTAGGGGCACTGGACTCCCACATGGCCAGCCACGGTTTGAGTCCCAGACCTGGAGGGCTTGCTTTCTCACTTCCCACTGCTCTGGTCAAATTAAAATAAACAAATAAATGAAGTTAAATAAAATAATTATTATTGAACAAAATAAAGTGACCATGGGGGAGACCAGCAGGTGATGTAATGGTTACATGACTGGACTCCCATGTAGTTGACCATGGCTCAAGACCCAGACCCAGCAGCTTAAAACTCAAGTCGGGTATGTGTGCCTGCATGGCCAAGATCCCGAGACGAGATTGGAGAAGGAATTGTGGCATGGCTATCCCACCTGGGGGTAATTTCTTGCTTTCTGTTTCTCTCTGAGCATAGGCACCTTATAGCAAAAGTATCTCTCTCTCTCTCTCAAAAAAAAAGTGAACCATGTGGGACTAGCAGGTGGTACGGTGGTTAAGGTGGTGCATTCCTACATGGCCAACCATGGTTTGAGTTCTGAACTTGGTGGCTTGAAAATCACATCAGGTGCGCATGCACGTGCATTCAAAATCCTGAGAAGAACGGAGAAGAGAATGCAATGTGGCAGTCCCCGCAGGGGTGTAATTTCTCACTTTCCTTCTCTCTAGTGTGCATACATGCCCTACACCAAAAAAGAAAAAAGAAAAGAAAACCATGGGAGGACCAGCTGCAGTGGCCTGGTGCTCCATGATGCTAGGCCAAGCAGATAGGCCAAGGTTCACTTCCCAAGGTCTCCCTATACTCACCTGCCCATGATCCAAACAGGCTGAGTCTGGGGGTGGATTGTGGTATATGGATCCCTACAGGGGGTGCCTCTCTCCCTCTGTCTCTCTTTTTCTCTCATGAGAGAAATAAATGGATAAATTTAAAATAAAAAAGTCAACCATTAGAAGACTCCACAGTGATAAAATGGGTGAAGTTCTTCAGGTTGGGGTCAGCAAAGCACAGTGTGAGGCCTCAGAACAAGGGACAGGGATGAGACAGGTGATGCCCACACACACACCCTGGAAGATGAAGAGCACCACAACACGGATCCTGCTGCTGTTACGGTCACTGTGGGGCAGAAGCTCGGCATTATTCGCACCTTTGACAAATGTTAACAAATTTGAGGGAGATTTCCTAGTGAGATATCTGGTGGCTTTAAAGCATAATGACACATGACAGATTTAAAAGAAAAATGGAACAAAATACAATTATTCCTAGGGGAATAAAGGACTAAAAAAACTCACCCCTGTGACAGCTTGGGAATAACTCTTCATTTCATTCATGGTAGAAACCTAAAGGAGAAAAAGAGCCTGTGTATTAGAATGAATCAGAACATGAAGCTAATATTAATTGCCCACAATCATATCAACATATTCTACCTCTAAATTATGTTTCTTTGATAGTTGTAAAAAGAAACATAAAAAGGTAGTAGTCAAATGATCAACTTGATTCAACTCACATTAACTAAGATGGTTTAGTAATAAATGTAACAGTCTCAGGATTTCAAAAACAAAAGAAAATGAGATTAGTACCATGGAGTCCTTGGAAAACTACACTGACAGTGTTTTCAGGGGACAATTACCTTTGTGTATAGCTAGCTTCGTAATAGACACTTTGGAAAAGATGTCTCTTCATTAAATAAGCTTACAATATGGGTTCAGTCTTATCTTGATGTGTTCTATTTTTCACCGTGCTATCGGGCTGCCTGTGTAAGGAGGAACCTCTCCTAAATGCTGAGACATTTCTAGTAAAGCCTTATTCTTGAAACTTCTCAGGCTGAGATGTCTACAAAGCCCAATATAGGGGCCTCCTGAACACTCCAGATTAGATAAAAACCCCAGACACTCCACAGAGCTGCCTTGCTTCAGCAATGTCCTCTAAAATTAGGTATCAACAAAGAAGTGATCTCCCTGAAGTCTATCAGAGCTAGAACTTTTGGGCATACTCTCTTGATACTCTTCAGACCTTAGGGACTTTTGAATGCATCTCTCTACAGTCAATAGTATGGATCATTCCATTAGCCTTTCAAAACTTGACTGATTTTAGTTTTATGGTGTTCAGCATAGCATGTAGCAAACTGCATCTTCCGTTGAAAGCTAATGAAGCTAACCATGCTGCCAGGTGAATACAGAAAAGTTAGCACTAGCACATTTCACCAAAGTCAACCTACCCCACTGTCCAGTGCATAGGTGTTGACGAGGTAGGCCAGTGAGTTACAGAGCCACAAAGAAATGATGTCACCTAGGAGGCGAGGAATAAGACCCCTACATGAAGAAACAATAAAAATAAGAACTGAAAAATGTGACCAATAGAAGATAATCTATAAAATACAAATACTTCTCAAAGAATTACAAGATTTCAAAGGACAGAATAGATATCCAACACTAGAACCCAGGCCTATCTGCTTTGGTCTGGTTAAATAGCTGGACTTCAAGCTGATTGCTAATGCCCCACTCTAAAAAAATTTTTTTTTAAAGAATTATTTTAACTTTTATTATTTTCTAATTTGACCAAAAATAAACACACAAAGAAGGAAGTGAGAAAGGAAGCCACCAGATCAAGGACTTAAACCACAGTTGGCCATGTGGGAGTCCAGCACCTTTAACCACCATGCCACATGCTGGCCCTGATCTCTTAATGCCTTTCATTCCCAGTATTATATTTTTAAAAATTTTATTTATTTATTTATTTGGAGGGGGAAGAGGTTTTTGCTACAGGGCACGTGCGTTCACCAGAAAGACAGAGAGAGAGAAAGTGAGAAATCACCCCCCAGGGGTAATGGCCATGCCACAACCCCTTCTCTTCCATTCTCCTCTCGGGATCTTGGGCACACACGTACATGCGCCTGGCATGAGTCTAAGCCACTGGGTCTGGGATTCAAACCATGGTTGACTACATGGGAGTCCAGTGACATAGCCATTAGGCCAAATGCTGGTCCTGCCCCTTGTTATGTTTTCTACCAGTCGTTTCTCCCCAGGTGAGTAATAAAAATTAAGATTACATTGGGGCTGCAGGTGTTGTGGTGGTTAAAGGCACTGGACTCCCACATGACTGACTGTGGTTCGAGTCCCAGACCTTGTGGTTTGCTTTCTCACTTTCCCTCCTTCTCTGGCCAAATTAAAATAAATGAAGTTAAATAAAATAATTATTTTAAAAAAATTAAGATTACTTAGAAATACATACTCTACTCCCTGACTCTTTACTCAACCCATTGTATCTTCTCATATTATTAAATGTGCTTAGCTTCGATTTTCATTGGCTGGAGGTGAACTGTAATGACCTGGCTGAGCCATCCCTTTATTAAAAGGTGGGAATTGAAATGGTTTCCAATTTTCAGTTGTCAAAACAGTCACTTTAGGTAGGAACAAATTCAGAGGGTGATCGTGCCCTTTGCTTTAAACTTCTTCACAGACTGCTCTCTTAAGTGAAGATGCATTTTGCTCCCATTAAATGTGGGATACAAGTTGATTTCCACAGTGAACATACAATTTAGCCTGGGGATACCTTTCAGGCGGTCTTCTTTGCTGATACTTTTGAAAATGTGCTTGGTTTCCAGCAGAATTCCTTTAACACCCACATACAAAGGGTATTTGGATTTTGTGACTGAAATAACAGCAGCACGAACATCTGCCTGTAACAGCTAGGCTTCTTGAATCACCCTTGGCTGCTTGAGATCACTGTCTGGCTTGAGACCACTGCAAAGGTCCTGAATGTACTGTTTCCAAAGTTTGTGCAGAGGGGAAAAAGACTGCATCCCTGTTCTGTTGTAACGGCAAAGAGCCACAACTCCCTCCTCCACCTGGCAGAGAGGCCTTTGGATTTTTCTCTTCTGGCAAGTGAAGTGTTCTCAAGCAAAGGCCCTGCGTTGCAGCTGGCCGTCCAGGGCTAACTGGTTCGTGTGGGGCAGGCTGTGCTCCAGGAAGGCCTTCGGGAAGGCCTCGGCTCACATGGTTCCTGGATGCTGAACACTGAACTCCTGACTCTTTCCGAGAAAAGCATGGTAGACTGAGCTTTTCATTCTTGGACCGCTTCTGAAGTGCTCTGAGGATGTCGCCTGAGAGAATCACTGATACTTACCCCAACCCTCAGCCACTGGGACCTCTCTCATTAGGTTTCCTTGTGCCAGAAGCCATGCGGTATGCGCAGCTGACTGATATGCTCCTACTTGCTATCAGAGTAGGAATATGGTTATTCTAAACTATTTGATAGTCAAATCTGGCAGGGCCAAAGATGAGAAAAATTATGAAGGATGGTCCAAAGACAGATATAGATAAGAAACATCAGAAAACCTGTTTTCAGGGTCTGGGGGACCTTGGCAAAGCAGCAAGGAACAGTGGGAAGAACATCACCTGACAGCCATAAAGCTCCCAGAGTACTCATGATACTGAGATAAAATCAACTGGAGGGCTGCCTTGTTGCCTGGTGGTTAAGGCGCTGGATCCCATATGGTCAAGTGTGTGGCTAGGGTACCAGATCCAGCTGATGGGAAATGTGCCGTCACGTGAGAGGACGGAGGAGAGCGGCTATGGTGTGACCATGCCCCTCTGTTTTTCCCTGGACAGCATATTTCCGCTGACAAACCGAAGGGAAAAAAAAAAAGAAAAATGAAATATGTAGAGACAGTGAAACTTTACAAAGACTGTTTAGTTAGTAATGCAAAGTTTTTGTTGACAGAAAAGAATGTCAGTGGTAGTCTAAATTCTGCTAAAGCAGACTTGCAAAATTTACTCTCTTAGAATAAGAAAAATACATGGTATGATGATTTTCCCATTAAAAAAAATTTATCTTGTTTTATTAATCATATATAATTTGGAACTTATTACAAGGGTGGAACCTTGTTCTGCTGTTAACAAAATCCTCATTGCTGGGGCCAACAAGTGGTGTGGTGGTTAATGCGTTGGACTCCCACATGGGTAACCTCAGTTTAAGTCTCAGGCCTAGCAGCTTGTTTTCTCACTTTCTCTCTCTGGTGAGCCTAAATTAAAATAATAGTAATAATAATAACAATAAATAAAATGATCATTTGGGAACCAGCAGTTACCGTAATGGCTATGTCGCTGGACTCCCATGTAGTTGACCGCGGTTCGCGTCCCAGACCCGGTGGCTTAAAACTCACGCTGGGCGCGTGTGCGTGCATGCCCAAGATCCGGAGAGGAGAATGGAGGAGAAGGGATTGCGGCGTGACCATCCCCCCTGGGGGGTGATTTCTCGCTTTCTGCCTCTCTGCTCTGTCTGTCTGGCGAGCGTACGTACCCTATAGTGAAAACCTCTCCCTAAAAAAAAAAGAAGAATATAAAGATAAAAAGTAAAATAAAAAAAAAAAAAAAATTTCAAGCATTTTTAAAAAGAATTATTTAATTTTATTTATCCATTCATTTATTTTAATTTGACCAGAGTGACACAGAGAGAGAAAGGGAGGGAAAGTGAGCGAGCAAGTCACCTGGCCCGGGAACTGAATTGTTGTTAGTCATGTGGGGGTGTCTAGCGCCTTAACCACCATACCACCCGCTCGACCCCATTTCATGCATTTTAAGTATCTATATGCAAAGATTTATGATCTTTACAAGAGAATTTAAGTCAGAGGGGCCTAAATAGAGCTTTACTTGACATAAATAGAGGGTGTACATTTTCCCCAGCAACTGACCAGAGATTCACTATCCCTATTATCAGAAAACTCTTCCACTCATACAAAAACTACATACACACAAATCAATATTTACTTACGCGAAAAATCCCAGGAGGCCCTCCTCCCGATAGATGGTTACTATGGAGTCACAAAGTCCACTAGGAACAGAAGAAGACAACACTAAGATTATTCTGGAGTTATAAGCAAAATAATTTAAGTGTACATTTCTTTTTTTTTTTTCTGAGAGGTTTTCACTATAGGGCGTGTGCGCTCGCCAGACAGACAGAGAGAGACATAGAGACAGAAAGCGAGAAATCACCCCCCAGGGAGGATGGTCACGCCACAATCCCTTCTCCTCCATTCTTCTCTCGGGATCTTGGGCACACACGCACACACGCCCAGCGTGAGTTTTAAGCCACCAGGTCTGGGACGCGAACTGCGGTCGACTACGTGGGAGTCCAGCAACATAGCCATTACGTTAACTGCTGGTTCCCTCAGTGTTCACTTTCGACAAGGTCGAATTTACAGCATCCTTCCCTCATACTTTTTAGCACACTCTCACAACACAGACAAATTTGGAGACAGAAGTGAAGACATTAACTAAGGTGTGGCAGTTACACAGGGATCAGGGTTCTCACAGGGTTCAGGGTTCTGAGATCTGGGCGGGTACCTAACCATGTCTAGGCCCACTTTTTCTTATTTTACTGGACTTTGTGTAGTTCATGTGATCTAAGACACATGAATTTGTTCTGTAAACGCAGTGTAACTCTAATACTTCAGTGAATCTCTTGACTCCTTGAAAACAAAAACACTTACCAGTACTTGGATTCTCTGCCAATGAATTGTACCATAGATCTCAGAGTGATCACTGTAGAACACAGAGAGAAGAGACTTTTAATACTTCACTGAAGTTGGGGACAGCGGGTGATGTGGTAGCTGAGGTGCTGGACTTCCACATGGCTGACCACGCATTTCAAGCCCCAGACCTGGTAGTTTATTCTGTTCAACTTTTCTCTCTCTCCCTCTCCCTCTGGCTCTCTCTCATGAGCACACAGGCTTCATATCAAATTAAAAAATAATAAAAATGGGGTCAGCAGGTGGCATGGTGGATAAAGATGCTGGATTCCCACAAGGCTGACTATGGTACAAGTCCCAGACCTGGCAGCCTGCTTTCTCACTTTCCATTTCTCTCTCTCTCTCTGTCTCAGGTCAAATTACCAAATAAATAAATAAACAAATAAATAATCCTGTAGAAAATAAAAATAAAATTATAAAAAAGTAATGAAAATAATAAAATAAAAATTCTTTTTTAAAGAATTATTTTATTGGGAACCAGCAGTTAGCTGGTTGGCTATGTCACTGGATTCCCATGTAGTTGACCGCAGTTCGCGTCCGGGACCCGGTGGCTTAAAACTCACTGGGCGCATGTGCCTGAGTCCCCATCCTCCCTGGAGGGTGATTTCTCGCTTTCTGTCTCTATGTCTCTCTCTGTCTGTCTGCCGAGCGCACGCGCCCTATAGTGAAAATCTCTCCGCCCCTCCCCCCAAAAAAATCCAAAGAATTATTTTATTCAACTTTATTTACTTTTACTTTTACTAGAGAGGGACAGAGAGAGAGAGAGAGAGAAAGAGAGGGAAGGGAAAGTGAGAAAGCAAGCCGCCAGGTCTGGAACTTGAACCGTGGTCAGCCATGTAGAAGTCCAGTGCTCTTAACCACCATACCACCTGCCAGTATTTTTAAATGTTTTTTGGAGAGATTTTCACTATAGTGCGCGTGCGCTCGCCAGACAGAGAGAGCCAGAGAGACAGAAAGCGAGAAATCACCCGCCAGGGGGGATGGTCACGCCGCAATCCCTTCTCCTCCATTCTCCTCTCGGGATCTTAGTCACGCACGCACATGTGCCTGGCGTGAGTTTTAAGCCACTGGGTCCGGGACGTGAACCACAGTCGACTACGTGAGAGTCCAGCGACATAGCCATTATGCTAACTTCTGATTCCCTCTTTCTTATTTTTAGAGAGAGATTTTTGCTACAGGGCATGTGCACTCGCTGTACAGAGAGACAGAAAGCAGGTAATCTACTCCCCAGGGGGATGGCCACACTGCAATTCCTTCTCCTGGGATTTTGAGCACAAACACACACACACACACATGCCTGGTGTGAGTTTGAAATCACCAGGTCCAGGACTTGAGGTGCGCTGCCTATGTGGGAGTCCAGCAATGTAACAATCACACCATCTGCTGGCCACAAATGAAATATTCTTTTAACCAAAAAATTAAATTGAGGGCCAGCCCTATATAACATAATGGAAGTCCACAGGGCAGACTACAGTTTGAATTCCAGCCCTGGGGTCTTGAAAAACACACTGGGTGGCTGCCAGCAGGTGGTGTGGTGGTTAAGATGCTGGATTCCCATGTGGCTTCCCGTAGTTTGAGTCCCAGTTCTGGTGGCTTGCTTTCTCATTTACCCTTTCTCTCTCTCTCGTTTCTCTCTGGTCAAATTAAATAACAAATGGAATTTTATAAATAATCAAAGGGAAAAAGAGAAAAAACACACTGGGCACGTGTCTGTGTACCCAAAATTCTAACAGGGTGGAGAAATGGAGAAGGGATGGCAGCATGACCATGCCACACTGGGGTGTATGTTCTCCCTCTTTGGCAAAGCACATGCACTCTCAGGCTAAGAAAAAGAACAACAAGAAGAAAAAGAACTTTACTAAGATATGTTTTGATAGTCATGGGAAAAAAATGCTTTTTCCCCACCAAAAGACACTTTGAAAAACTGGATAAAAACCAAACCAAACAAACCAAAGACATGCAGCTAGGACACTCAGACAATTCCCATGTACGCCTATCTAAGTGATGGGGAGAAAGCAAATATAAGTGAAGCAATCCAACTTCTATTATGAACTATAACCTACCGTGGAAGGGATGTGTGATGAGGGTAGCAGCAGACCGAGCGATCATCTCTCGAGTTGTCTAGAAACAATCAACACACATTTCTGAAATCTAAGTAATGACATTCAACATCCTGTGGAAGGAATGGGGTGGATACTGCAGCAGAGGATAAGAAGCATGTGCGACACATATTCATGCTGAGTCTGGGAACAGGAACCTGAATGGAATTCAACAGAACACACAGACATTCTAGCATACCTTTCACTCAAGGGTTTCAATGCTGTTAGTTACTTCTCAAGATCTTGCTGCAAAGCAGATTTGCTATTTTCTCCATTTCAAACATAAGAGAAAAAGCAAAGAAACGGAGAAAGTCCACCAGGAGATAGTCACCAAGTTGGAGTGAAACCGTGAGGTATCTATCAAAATGAGTATACTGTTGTCTTAGTGTGAGTGACTTCAGAGATTCTGATTTTTTTTTTTTTAGGAGAGATTTTTTTTGCTATAGGGCATGTGCTCTCGCCAGATAGACAGACAATAACAGAGAAAGAAAGTAAGAAATTATCCCCCCAGGGGGATGGCTATGCTGTAATTTCTTCTCCTCCATTCTCCTATCAGGATTATGGACACACATGTACATGTGCCCGGTGTGAGTTTTAAGCACCGGATCCGGGATTTGAACCGCATTCAATTACATAGGAGTCCAACGACGTAACCATTACACTATCGGCTAGTTGCCAGAGATTCTTATTTCTACTTTGGATAAATGTCAGCTCTACTTAATCAGTTACAAAATTTCAAAGGTAATAGAACAATTTTTGTAACCACAACCCTACAACTGTGCAGTAGTTACAGCTACTATGTTTATTCTAATCTATCTTCCTAGCCTACGAATGTAAGGAGTAAAAAGAAAATTATAACACCTGGAGGTAGAACTAGGGGTCGTGTATATCACACATCTGTAATTCTCATTTGTATTCAGCATTATCTCCAATCACTGAGATAAGACACACTTCGCCCCTATTCCAATGGTGTAGTTAAGAGAAGATCCTGTAGAAGAGGATAAGCTAATTAAAGCCAAAACATACAGAATGAAAAAAGAAAAAAACAGACTGCATATTGGGACATGTCTCCCTAGTTGTTGTTGTTTTTTTTAATGGTTATTTATTATTTTTAAAAATTTGATCAGAAAGGAGGGGGGAGAGAGAGAAAGCAAGCCAACAGGTCTGAGACTCAAACCATGGTCGGCCATGTGGGAGTGTCCAGTGCCCTAACCATCATGTCACCTGTTGGTCCCCAGATCTCCCTAGTTTTAAACAAACTCAAGGATAAGTTATAGAATAGCTAGCCAGAGGCATGGTGGTCAAGGCATGCTGGATCCCATGTGGGAATTCGAGTTATGGACATGGAGGCTTGAAAAACATGCTAGGTGCATGTGCGTACATGCCCAAAATCCTGAGAGGAAAATGGAGGGGAAAGGACAGTAGTGTGGCCATCCCCCAGGGGTTGACTTCTTTTTTTTTATTTGAAGAGGCTTTTGCTATAGGACGCTTGCGCTTGCCAGAAAGAGACAGAAAGTGAGAAATCACCCCCCGGGGGGATGGCCAAGCTGCAATCCCTTCTCCTCCATTCTCCTCTCGGGATCTTGGGCACACATGCACACACGCCCGGCGTGAATTTTAAGCCACCGGGTCCAGGATGCAAACCGCGGTCAACTACGTGGGAGTCCAGAGACATAGCCATTACTCTAACTGCTGGTCCCCGCCCCCCAGGGGGTGACTTCTCACTTTCCCTCTCATTCTCAGTCTGATGAGCACACATGCTCTACATCAGAAATTTAAAACAGCTGATTAATCAGATGTACAGACCTTTAGCAATGTTCGTTTTAGAATAAATACTTTAAGAAAGCAGCATTTACTAAACACTGTGGAATTCTAAAAGATAGCTTGACAGGCTGACAGGTGATGTGATAGTTAAGGCGCTAGACTCCCACATGGCCAATCATGGTTCAAGCCCTAAACCTGATGGATTGTTTTCTCATTTTCCCTTTGTCTCTGTAGTCAAATTAAAATGATAATAATAAATATAATAAATAAATAATAACAAATAAAATCAAATCTTTTTAAAAAGATTTAACTTTATTTGTTTATTTCAATTTGAAAAAAGAGAGAGAGAGAAAGAGAGAAAGTGAGAGAACAAGTTGCCAGCTATGGGACTAGAACCATGGCTGGCCATGTAGGAGTCCACCTTTAACCACCATGCCAGCTGCTGGCCTCAAAACTAAGTAATTCTTTATTTGGGACCAGCAGATGGCATAACGTTATGTTGTTGGACTCCCACATAGTTGACTGCAGTTCGAATCCCGGACCTGGCAGCTTAAAACTCACACAGGATATGCGTGCACACATGCCCGAAGTCCCAAGAAGAGAATAGTGGAGAAAGGACTGTGGTGTGGCTATCCTCCCAGGGTGTAGGGGGTGACTCCTACTTTCTGTCTCTGTCTCTCAGGTGAGTGCATGCAACTTACTGTAAAAATCACTCTCTAAAAAAATAATTATTTGAGCAATGAAGACTAAGAAGTGAAAGAGTAGCCTTGCTGGGGCCGGTAGGTGGCATAACGAGGCACTGAACTCCCAAATGGCCAGCTGTGGTTTGAGTCCAGACCTGGTAGCTTCACTTTACCTCTCTCTTTCTGTGTCTTTCCCACCCTCTCTATGGGTCAAATTAAAACTAATAATAGTAATTCTCAGACAAACAAAACCAGAAAGAATTTACCAACACCAGCCCAGCTCTTCAAGAAGTTTTGAAAGGAGTACTATACAAGGAAAATTAAAGACAGACAAATAAGAGAACAAAAAATGACCAAGAAAAAGGCCAACTTAATGGTAGGGACAAGTTCTGAAATATCAATAATAATGTTGAATGTTAATGGAAAGGTCAGACCACAGTAACACTGCAAATTCAATAAAAGAGATTATGCAAGACTGAACTGGTAAAAAAGAATTCTGTAACTTTTTTCTAAAGCATTATTGATTTTCTTTTATGCTTTGTCTTATAGATTTAAGGATTTTTGTCTTCTTTTAAAAGTTGTTGGGCCCAGTAATTTGTTAAAGATTTTTTTAACTGAAACAAAAACTTTTCTCCTTTCCTAACCCCTTTGCTAGGAAAATATTTGTGAGTATTCTTATTTGTGGCAGAATAGTTATTTGTGTAAGCTCAATAATACAGTAATCTCTGTTGCCTTGCATTAGAAATCGAATTCTTGGGAACCAGCAGTTAGCGTAATGGCTATGTCGCTGGACTCCCACGTAGTTGACTGTGGTTCGCGTCCCGGACCTGGTGGCTTAAAACTCACGCCGGGCATGTGTGCGTGCGTGCCCAAGATCCCGAGAGGAGAATGGAGGAGAAGGGATTGTGGCATGGATATCCCCCCTGGGGGATGATTTCTTGCTTTCTATCTCTCTGTCTCTCTCTGTCTGCCCAGCGCACGTGCCCTAAAGCAAAAATCTCTCAAAAAAAAAAAAGAAATTAAATTCTTATGGGGCTTTGTGCAAATAACAGATCAAACTGAGATTAACCTAATTTTTCTTTTTTTTTGCGAATTAGTTTATACCTCGCTTTAATAAAAGGGGAAATGGAGAGGAAAAAAAATTGTTTCAGAAGAAAATTACAGCGCACTTGTCACTAGATGCTAGCTTTGTCCATACTTTAAGATCTTTTGTGAATCAATAAAGTCTGAATAAAAATGTTTAGTATGGAAAGGGAGGGAAAGGGAAAGGGAAGGAAAAACAGGTTAAAAAATGCTTAATTGACAAAAAATAAGAAGCTATTTGTTGATGGTTTTATATATATGTATATGTATATGTATATGTGTGTGTGTGTATATATATATAGACCATATGATGTATGCACTTGCCAAAGAAAGACAGAAAAAGAGAGGAAGAAAGTGAAAAATCACCCCCCCAGGGGTGGCCATGCTGGAGTCCCTTCTCCTTCATTCTCCTCTAGGGATTTAGGGCACACATGCACATTGACCTGGAGTGATTTTCAAGCCACTGAATCTGGGACTCGAAATGTGTGAAAATCCAGTGCTTTAACCACCAAGTCACCTGCTTGCCCCAAGTTAACTGATTTTTAACAAAGGTCCCAAAAACATTAACTTAGGAAAGAATAATATCTTCAATAATTGGTGCTGGGAAATTTGGGTATCTGTATATAGAAAAAAGAAACTAGAACCCTTTCTCTCACCATTCATAAAAATTAATTTAAAATAGATGGAGGGGTCAGCAGGTGGTGTAGTGGTCACCCCCCACAACACACACAAAAGTAGTTTTGAAAGCCAGGCACTGGAACCAGCAGTTGGCATAATGGCTATGTCACTGGACTCCTATGTAGTTGATCACAGTTCGAGTCCTGGATTCGGTGGCTTAAACTCAACGCTGGGCGTGTGTGCATGCATTCCCAAGATCCCGAGAGGAGAGTAGAGGAGAAGGGATTGCGGCATGGCCATCCCCCCTGGGAGGTGATTTATCACTTTCTGTCCCTCTGTTTCTCTCTGTCTTTCTGGTGAGCACACGCACCCTATAGCAAAAACCTCTCCAAAAAAAAAAAGGAACAACCTAACAAAAATACGTGTGGATATAAAATACCCGAAATGAAATGGCCTGATCACCATTTTTACCCTCTGCCAGAGGTTTTCAACACTATTAATTAGAAAACTTTCAGTTTAAATTTTAAAAAGACCTCTTTAATTTTAAAGATGAAATGTGTGGGCAAAATTCATTTCCTTGAATTGCATCTACTCAAACAGCAAGCACTGGTCCTCTCTTTCGTATGATATACACAGACAAATGCCAGGCTCTTTAAATTATCATAAAGTTCAAGTTAAATTAAATTTAATTTCATTAAACATACAGGCCTTCTGATTCCACAATTGCCACACCACATGCAACTGATCTAGGAAAACAGCGAGGAATATAATTCATCTCTTACCTCCTTGATAACTCGGTCAAAGGAAGATGAGACTTCTTTTTGAACATTTCCAGGTCCTAATTCCTAGAAATCAAAATCAAATACAGAGATCTTGATGGTTTAAATGGAACGGTTCACACTGGCGGCCACCCCAGGTGCTAACACTCACTGAGGTGAAAGGGAAACTGGCTGCTTGGCTTGTGTCCTAAAGAGGCTCAAAGAGCAATAACAACTTGCAAGGGGAAGGGGCCATGTACAGAAATCAGCTCCAACATACCTCGACCTTGTCACATTCCTGGTAATGCTACAGAAGAAAAGAAAGAGGTGATTAGGGCTATCACAGTGTCAAGTGAGAAAACATAAAATAAAAACTCAGGGCTGGCACCATGGTCTAGTAGTAAGAGAGCTGTATCCTATATGGCCAACCACGGTTTGAGTCCCAGACCTGGCGGCTTGCTTTCTCACTTACCTTCTGTGTGTGTGTGTCCCCCTCTCTGGTCAAATTAAATAAAGTTAAATAAAATACGTCTTAAAAAAAGAAAAAAAAAAGAAACTTCACTGGCAGAGGAGGGGTTGACTGTGGTTCAAGTCCTGGACCTGGTGGCTTGCTTTCTCACTTTCCCTTTCTATCTCTGTCTGGTCAAATAAAAAAATAATAATCATAACAAAATAAATAAATGTTTAAAAAGGAAAGTGACGTAGCAGTAAAATTCGAACTTTGAAAGCCTAACGCACATGGGGAGTTCCTGGTTTGTTGTCTAGAGACTTATTCATTTATATATATGTATATATAAAATGTATTCCGTAGACTAAAAAATATGGAATGCTTCACAAATTTGTGTGCAGTCTTGCACACAGGACATGCTGATCTTCTCTGTATCATGTGTGCATGATCTAGGGTTGGCTAGGCCTAGGGATGAATGAGGGGACTGGGACCCTTTTAGAGTCCTGCCATCTTTCTTGCTGTTGAAAGTAATAAACTTTAAGAAAAAAATCTCCAAGTTTTTTTTTAGAGGTATTTTTTTTGCTACAGGGCGTGTGCGCTCGCCAGACAGACAGAGAGACAGAAAGCGAGAAATCCCCCTCCAGGGGGGATGGCCATGCCACAATCCCTTCTCCTCCATTCTCCTCTCAGGATCTTGGGCACGCATGCACTTGCACCCGGCGTGAGTTTTAAGCCACCGGGCCCGGGAAGCGAACCGCGGTCGACTACGTGGGAGTCCAGCGACATAGCCATTACGCTAACTGCTGGTTCCCATGACAGGTCTTTTTGACAGAGTCTCACTATGTCAAAATCCTCCCAAATTTCTAGGATTACAGGTGTAACTTATATTTGTGTGCCTATAAAATAGCTACCCTGATTGCTCCCTCCTCCATACCATCCAGTCACCAAAGACCACATTTCTCTTCTCCCTGTTTTCCTCCAGAAGTCATGTGTTTCAGAGACTTGTGGCTCATCTACAGATTAAATTCTGATATGCATAGGCATTTTGTTCAGTATTATTAGGCTAAGGGTGGACTTAGTTGTGCCTGGGAGTGGTTTAGATCAACTGTGGGTCTCTGTGTTAGTTTCTTTCTCCTTGCTTTACTACAGATTATCTCTATAAGTCTTGGCTTAACAAAAAGCCCTGTGGTGGGGTAGGCATGGGAGAAAGCATGAATTTTTGTGCATTAGAATTTGGTATTCTCTCTTTCTCTCTTTCTTTCTTCTTTCTTTCTCTTTTACGTGCCCGGCATGAGTTTTAAGCCACCGGGTCCGGGACGCAAACCACAGTCAACTACGTGGGAGTCCAGCGACATAGCCATTACGCTAACTGCTGGTTCCCTTTTTTGGAGAGGTTTTTGCTATAGGGCGCGTGTACTCGCCAGAAAGACAGAGACAGAGAGACAGAAAGCAAGAAATCACCCCCCAGGGGGGATGACCATGCTACAATCCCTTCTCCTTCATTCTCTTCTTGGGATCTTGGACATGCACGCACACATGCCTCGCGTGAGTTTAAGCCACCGGGTCGGGACTCAAACTGTGGTGGACTACATGTGAGTCCAGCAACATTGCCATTACACCAACTGCAGGTCCCAAAATTAAACAATTCTTAAACAAAACAAAAACAAAAACAAGCACATGTCTGTGCATGTGTACCCAAAATCCCAAAGGATGAAGAAATGAAAGAGAAGGTATTGTGGTGTGACCATGCCCCATAGGGGTATGGAGGGGGGTACTTTCTCACTCTCTTCTGCAACACACATACTTGCTTGTCAAATTTTAAAAAGAGAAACCTAAGCATGTTATTTACTAAAAACACAGTTAGCAGAAAACACTTTAGCAAAACACAACCCAGGGCTCTTAGCTTTTCTCTGGACAAAACAAGACTGACTGATACCAAATTAGGGCAAGACTTCTTTACTGCACAAAAGAGCAGAGAACTGGCGCTATTTCTCAATAGCTGAAATCACCTCCCTTTCCCTTTTATGCCTGTTTCTGAAACAAAGCAAGAGAGAAGACTGTTTTCTCTTCTAGAGAAGAAAACATGAATATTTCCAGAGCCCGACTACATTGGAAGAGGAAATACCTTTTGTGGGACATTTTAGAAAGAGAATGTAGCTAGGTGAAAATAAAAGAATCTGACAACTGAGCTCCTTGTTACCTAACAGTTTTATTGTGTTCTTGTCATACCTGATTAAAAAAAACAAAAAACAAAACAAACAAACAAAAAAAACCCCTTTTTTTTTTTTTTTTTTTTTTAGGGCAAAAAGAATTGTTAAAAAAAAAAATCACAGGGCTAGCAGGTGTTATAGTGGTTGATGCTCTGGACTCCCACATGGTTGACCATGGTTCAAGTCCTGGTCATGACTTGAAAGTCATGCCAGGCACATGTGTGTGCCCAAAATCCCAGGAGGAGAAGGGAGTACAGCATGGCCATCCTCCCAGGGGGTGATTTCTCACTTTCTCTCTTATTCTCTGTTTCTCTCCTGTGAGTACACATGCCCTATGGCAAAGACCTTAAAAACAAAACAAAAACAAAAACCCACAGGCAAGAGAACACATGTCAAGATTTAACAAAGTAATGTCTTTCAGCCAAATCTCAGGTCCTTTGTTAGAATATATTCTAACAGTTCCAAGTCTCTTTACTCTTACTTATTTCTATACTTTTTTTTACTTAATTGATAAAACTGTATACTATCTATTCTATATTACTCTGAACAGACTTTAATTCTTATTGAGATAAAACTCTTTCTCGAAAGGTATTACTTGTTTTAAGACAAGGTCCAGCTACATTGCAATCCTCCTGCCTCAACCTCCCAGCTGGACTATGCCACTGTGCCAGCTCGCCTTTAGACAGGGTTCTGGTATGTTGCCCAGACCAGACTCAAGCCAGCAATTCTCCTGCCAACGCTTCCCAGAGCTGCTAGGATTAAAGGCGCATACCACCGCGCCTGGTCTTTAGGTTGGACTGGGCATTGAATCTGGGCCTCCCAAGTGGTCCCAGCCTACAGAGCATGGCGTGTGCCATCGTAAATGGCCCTGAGTAGGTCTTTCTTCTTTCTTCTTTATGGTACACTAAGTGTAGTACCATTCTCCTGATATTTCACTGGAGAACACATACACTGGACACATAATCAGGGTACCTGGTATATCAAGTTGGTCTTACTTTTCTTTTACCCAAAGGAACTTGGTAATTTCACTTTTAGTTTAATTTTTTTCCCTCAAATATTTTACATAAACCTCTTCCACTAAATGGTAACTGCCTTTCCATACGTAAATTTCACTGAGGTGACAGAAAAAAAAAGCCCATAGTAGTGTGTGGTTAGAAAAGCCTGTGAAGACTCACTCCATCACTGTCAACCCCAGGCCACCTGAAATGGTGCTTCTAGATTGCCCACGGGCCTCATAACAGATAGAAGGAACAATAAAATGACTGAAAAGTGAGGGAGCTTCCATGTGAGAAACTGGCTGAAAAAAATGAAGGCTAGAATATTTAAAAATCAATAACAATTAGATCATGAAATTATTTAAAATAATGATTTGCTTTTCAGATTACAGAACACTAGAAAGGAGGGCAATGTTAAAGCCTTAAAAAGTATACCGAGAAGGACAGATGGTGGTGCCAGTGGTAAAAAGCCACCCTAGACAATCCCATATGGGAAGGGTGCTGGCTCAATTCAGGAGACTTCCCTGAGTACAGTGGGCATGTGCCTGCCCGTGATCTAGGCTGGCTGAAGGCACATCAAGATCCTGTCAGGGCTGCTATCCCTCTCTCTCTCACTTGTCCATGAAGAAGTAAATAAACTAATAAAAAACACACTGAAGGGGGGCCAGCAGGTGGCATGGTGGTTGGGATCCTGGCTGCCCAAATGGCTGTCGATGGTTTGAGTCCTGGGCCTGGTGGCTTGCTTTTTCACTTTCTCTCTTGTTCTCCTGCTCTCTGGTGAGTGCATGTGCCCTGTAGCAAATTATTGTACAGACTGATAATATTACAGATTTAGTTAGCATAAACTGCTATAGTTTTTGAGTTACACCAGAGGATAATGGTACCCGGGCGTCAGCAGAAGACAAAATAATGAACTAGAAAACTCATTAGTTTTATCTTCTTAACCATATACATACTATGCGACCTTCCCTCAGATTGTTCTAAATGGTAGAGAATGGTAGAGAATTCTCACTCCTAACACCTTTATAACAAGGGGGCAGTTCAGTTGGACTACATTGTAACAAATGCCAACCAGTACTATCAGACTGTATTGCAAGCTTCAGCATTAGATATAAAGAGAAGCTGGCAAAACAAAAGGATCACTAAGAAAGAAAGAAACGTAACTTTGATGTTTTAAAAACTTAAGAAAGAAACACCTCGAAGATACAATAAAAAAAAAAAATTAAGACAATGATTCACCTATGACTCTATCACTCAGGTTACTCAGATGTTTTGCAGTGTGCTTATATGATCTCCTGCCTTCTTAAAGGGCCACAGATATACCTGAAGTTCCACCCCCTAGTCTCTTGCCCGTTCCCTTCATTTATTTAGATCTTTCTTCCACAAACAAGAGAGAAACAGGGGGCAAGTGGGAGCCCCTCAGTAAGGGCTTCATACCATGATTCACTCCTAGCTTTATCCAATCCTGGATCATGGGCATGTGTTCCTGATGTGTTCAGGGAGGTCTCAAGACATAAACTTGGAACCTTCTCAAGTGGGTCACCCTCACAAAGCATCGTATTTTACCACTGCACCACCAACCAGGCCTAAGTCTTTTTTTAAAACGTAAAGACTTAGTGAACGAAACACAAATGTATACTGTAATAAATAATGAGGTGGGGCTAACAGGTGATGTGGTGGTTGGGGTGCTAGATAACCCATGGCAAACCATGGTTTGAATTCCTGACACGGCAGCTTGAGGGGAATGCAGGCGCATATGTGTGAATGCCCAAAATCTGAAGAGAATGGAGAAGGGACTGCAGTCTGGCCATCCCGCCTGGGGGTGACTTCTTACTTTCCCTCTCACTGTCTCTGTCTCTCTCTGGCAAACACATGTACCCTATGGCGAAAACTTAAAAGAAAAAAACAAAACGAAAAGGCAAATAGCCATAAAGCCATGATCTAGGTCAAGGAAAATCACTGCCACCACCCCAGACTCCCACTGATGGTCCCTTCCTCTCTGAATAAATGACCAGTCTCTTGGCTTTTATGCTTCCTTTGTTCTTTCTCAAAAAATAAGTTTTTGGGACCAGCAGTTAGTGTAATGGCTATGTTGATGAACTCCCATGTAGTAGACGACAGTTTGAGTCCTGGACCTGGTGGCTTAAACTCACGCCGGGCTTATGTGCGTGCGTGCCCAAGATCCTGAGAGGAGAATGGAGGAGAAGGGACTGCGGCATGGCCATCCCCCCGGGGGGTGATTTCTCGCTTTCTGTCTCTTTGTTTCTCTCTGTCTGGCGAGCGCACGTGCCCTATGGCAAAAACCTCTACAAAAAAAAAAAGAAGTTTTTAACGGAAGACATTTTACTAGGGTAACACTAGAATTAAGAAGACAGCTTCAAAAAAATAAATAATAATGTTTTAGTCAGCTACTTCCCTTCTTCAAAGAAATCAAGTGAGCTTTACAGGTGACTGAGTGAGTGAATGTCTTTAGTTTCTGCTTGGTTCTGAGGAAGAACAAGCAGAACAAAATCAATTACTTCACTTTGCACAAATTCCCTTTGCTTCCTGGGAAAGAGGTAGGAATTTTTTTTGCCTTTGTTTTTAAAGCATGTGTATTTCAAGAAAATTATTTTAAGGAAAGAAAGTCCAGGGTTATCAATGTATCTTTGATATTGCTTTTGGTCAAAAGTAAAAATGGAATATAAACAGTAATCAGAGTCTATAGGACAATGAACTGATGCTCCTCTTACCTGTAAAACTTTGCCATGGACCACAGTTCCAAGGACTCCTGAACACAGTCTTGGAGTTAAACCTGTGAATAACCCACGTCGCCCATCGATGCTTGCGATGTGCTGAGCTAAGAACAAAAACCAGAGTTAAATTCTCATCCAAAGAAGCAGTTACATAGTAATTTCAAGGAAACATGCCTTCTACCTATATTTTTTTCAGTAACTCCTGCCTATCACAGTTCTCAGTGTCATTTAATCCCAGATAAATCAGACACTTACCGTAACAAAAGAGACCAGGAAGCTGACATACTTGCCGTCCAAAAATATTTCGTCCTATTGTTGGAGGAAGAGGCTCATATCCCACCTTTAAAAATAAAAGATACTGATACTAAGTAACATTTCCAGAAATGCTTTGGTTTCAAGATTTTAAATAAAGGACAAAATTAGAGTTATAATTTTATTTTTAAGGTTTTTGCCATAGGGCATGTGTGCTTCCCAGAGAGACAAAAAGTGAGAAATCATTTTCTTAGGGGGATGGCCACACTGCAATCCTCCTTCCATTCTCCTTAGGATCTTGGGCATATACACATGCATACACGCACATATACCCGGGTTGTTTCTCACGCTGCCAGTTCAAGACTTAAATCATGGAGCTAGCCATCTGGGAAGCCTTAACCATAACACTGCCAGTTGGTCTGGGGTTATAATTTTTTTATAATTTTATCTGTCATCTTTATTACTTTTTAAAAATTTGATACAGGCATTAACCAGAAAACGACAGAAAGGAAAAGTGAGAAAGTAAGCCACCAGGTCCAGGATTTGAACTGAGACCAGCCATGTAGAATACTAGTATGCCAACCACCATGCCATCTGTTGGCCCCAGGGTTATAATTTCTTTTTCTTTTTTTTTTTTTTTTGAGAGAGATTTTTGCTATAGGGCACTAATTGGAGAGACAGAGAGAAACAGAAAGTGAGAAATCACTACCACCACCACCACCCGCCCTGGAAGGATGGCCACACTGCATTCCCATCTCCTCCATTCTCCAATCAGGATTTTGGATATGTACACATACATGCCTGGCCCGAATTTGAAGCCACCAGGCCTGGAACTTGAACCATACTCAACAATTATGCCATCAAATGGTTCCCAGGGTTATAAATTTTTTTTTTTGGCGAGGTTTTCACTATAGGGTGTGTGAGCACGCCAGAGAAACAGAGAGAGACATAGAGACAGAAAGCGAGAAATCACCCCCCAGAGGGGATGGTCACGCCACAATTCCTTCTCCTCCATTTTCCTCTCGGGATCTTGAGCACGCACGCACATGCGCCTGGCATGAGTTTTAAGCCACCGGGTCCGGGACGCGAACCGCGGTCGACTACGTGGGAGTCCAGTGACATAGCCATTGCGCTAACTGCTGGTTCCCCCCAGGGTTATAATTTTTAACGCAAGTAAAAATGCAGTATGTTGGGGCCAGCAGGTGGTGTGGTGGTACAGTCACTGGACTCCCACATAGGTGACTGAGGTTTGAGTCCCAGACCTGGCAGTTTGCTTTCTCACTTTCCCTCCTCTCTTCTTCTCTAGTGAGCACATGTACCCTATAGCAAATTAAAAAAAAATAAAAATAATAATTATAAATAGAAGTAATTCTTTTTAAAATATGCAGCATGTTTTCCAAGGCAACATAAAGTATCATCTTTGTCAGTTTTTGTTCTGTCAAGTGAAAAGATGGGGTTCAATAAACTGCAAGTTTCTTTGGTTTGAAATCTATGGGGACAGCTCTGTGGCCTGGTGGTTAAGGCATCATGATCTCACTTGGCTGACTGTGGCTTAAATGTAGAATCAAGCAGCTTGAAAAACATGCCAGCTGCATATGTGTATAAGCCCCAATCACCACAGGTTGGAGAAATAGTGAAAGAATTGTGGCATAACCATGTCCCATGGGGATACTTTGTCCCTTTTCCTCTCCCTCTGGTGAGCACGCACACGTCCTCTGCCAAAAATTAAAAATAAATAAACTTGGGGCCTGCAGGTCGCATAGTGGTTATGGTGCTGGACTCCTACATGGCTGACTGAGGTTTGAGTCCTGGACTTGGTAGCTTGAAAATGACAACAGGCACAGATGCCTGTGTGCCCCAAATCCCAGGGGAATGGAGAAGGGATTGTGGCATGGCCATCCCAGCTCCTGCCCTTCCCGGGGTGATTTTTTTCACTCTGCTTCTTTCCAGCAAGTGCATGTGGCCAATAGCAAAAACCTCAAAATAAATGACTGACTGAATGAATAGATAGGTAGATTCTATGATGTAAAACAAGTAGCTGAGACAGACTAATATCGAACTGAAAATAGAATAAACACGACCTACTTGGCTGGGAACTTTTGTGTTAGGAAAGCTATAGTTTATTGAGGAAGCTCAAAACTATTTTCTAAAGAAAATCTAGGGCATTTTCCTATTTAACAAAACTAAGAGACATCCACTAAGCCAGCAGCAAATGCATATTTGGCTAGCTAGACGAAACACTCTACAGGCAGATGCGGCTGGAGAATTCACCTAGGAAAGAATTACTGCGAGTTCATGTTAAATGAATAGACGGTTATTATAAATCTAATGAATGTCGTTTTATAAAGTTAATGATTATCCTTTCGCTTGCACAATACATCCAGGATTTTTAGTGCTAAAGGGTTGAGAGAATGAATGCTGTAGGACAAGGTTTTGACCTTCTCTTGACCCTTATTCTGTTCTATTAAATAACTCCTGTCTGAGCTCCTTGAAAATGCATCCTGCAGGGCAACAGATGGTGGAAGGGCTACTTCACTGGACTCCCACAAGGCAACTGTGGTTTGAGACCAGGACCTGGCAGCCTGAAAGTCATGCTGGGCGCCTATGTGTGCATGCCCAAGATCTCAGGAGGAGAATCAAGGAAGGACTGTGGCATGGTCATCCCCCGCCCCCATGTGTGTGTGGGTGACTTCTGTTCCCCTCTCACTGTCTCTGTCTCTCTCTCTGGCAAGTATATGCACCTTAAGGGAAAAACCTCTTTAAAAAAAGAGAGACCAGCAGTTAGCGTAATGGCTATGTCGCTGGACTCCCACGTAGTCGACTGGGGTTCGCGTTCCTGACCTGGTGGCTTAAACTCACGCAGGGCACATGTGCGTGCCTGCCCAAGATCCTGAGAGGAGAATGGAGGAGAAGGGATTGCGGTGTAGCCATCCTCGCTGGGGGGTTGATTTCTCACTTTCTATCTCTCTGTCTGGCGAGCACACGAGCCCTATAGCAAAAACCTCCCCCATTAAGAAAAAACCCCCCCCACGCCCCCCCAAAAAAAAAAAAAAAAAAAAGTGTGTCATGCAACTATTTTAAAAACTGAGTATTTGGGAATTTCATCAAAACTGAGATACATGACAACACACAGATGCTATCAAATCAAAATTAAGGATATTCTAGTTTTTTAGATCAGAGCTCTGATGTCACTAGGAAATTCTGTCTCCTGGAGAGGAGTAGGTTCATAGTAGAGATGTACTGTGAAATGCTGTCATCTTAGAACCTATCCTGCCCCAAATGCATCACTTCTACTGCAGAGGTCCCAGTATATTTCAATAAAAGTCTTTGCCCTAGGTTCAATGTATTTGTTTGAATAAACAGCCTTTTACATATGTCACCTGACTATACGGATCAACTCTGTGACAACTTCAGATTGGCAATAACTCAAGGATAAGAGATGGGTTTAGCATATTTTTTTTACGCAGAGGTGGACAAGGCTTCTAAAAGCTGCCCCCTTCTTTGGCACAATGCATGAGGTAACAATATCAAAACTGTGTAAAAGTTTTAAAAAATGAATGATCTGCCCACCACAGGGACGTTCAGAAGAGCGTGAAAATACTAAGCCTATGTTAAAGTAAAACTTGGCCTACTGGGGTGCGAAAATACACCACCACTTAAGAATTATTTTACAATTGATGAGAAACTAGCACCTATCTTTAAACTCACTAAAACTCTTCTAGCCGAACTGATTTCCAGCTCAGACGAACGTGATTTTCATTGTCATGAGCCGCATGCCCATGGGCTGCTGCTGGAAAGCCTCCATGGATCCTTCCGAAATTTGACTCAGCTACCACTTCATTCTCACTTCTGAATGAGCTCCTTGTGTTTATCTGAGTATCTGGTGTTAGAATCTCCGAACAGAATAACAGTATAACGTAGTAACAGTAGCAAAAAAAAAAAAAGGTAAAAAAGGCTAATAAAAATATAATAAAATGCTGGCTCCTCTGTAATTCCTAATTTGCCTTCAACGGAATATTTCGTCTTATGTTTGGGACCGGAGGGCGTGGGGGACGAGAGGTGACTATTAATTTCAGAGGGGCGGGAGGGGAGGGGTGGGAAGCCCACGGTGGAGACCGGCCAGAATCACCTCAGGGGAGAGAAAGCAAAGTTCAGAGGCGCCGCTGGGCAGGGCCGGGTGGCAGTTGGCTCCCGCAGCCGGAGCGGGCCTCGGCGCTGGGCGGGGAGGCCGGACTCGAGGAGGCCCACGAGAGGGGCCGCGGGACGGTGGAAGTTGTCCCAGCGGGGAGGGGAAGGGCCGCAGGGGAGGCGCAGCATCTCGGGAGACTGAAGGCCCGGAGGGCTGGAGCCGCTCCTCTGGCGCCGAGGGCAGCGGCGACCGGAGAGGGCGCCGGACGCGGACGGGAATGTCGACGACTCATACCTGGATGAGCACTTTCACGTACATGAGCGGCTGGGACAGGATGGTGAGACCGGAGCCCAGGAGCACCTGACTGGTCGCGTCCGCCATGATGGCACCGCGGACGGACAGACAGACCGAGCCACCAAGCGAACAAGCCGGTCCCGGATCACGTGCCAGGGCCGCCGGCTTCACTGGCCCGGCCCCGGCGCGCGCGCGCGCGCGCACACGCACCGCCGCACGCTGCCCCGCCTACTTCCCGCCCAGAGAAACGAAAAAGCACTGGGGCCGGGGCGGGGCTTACAGGCCAGGGGCGCGGCTTACAGGCCAGGGGCGCATGCGCTCTGTAGTGGGATTTGTGTCCACTAGGAATGCGTTCCTCTTGCTCATGCACATGCCGGAAGTGTTTCGAGGGGGGATGGGCGTGGCAGGGGAGGGGGGGTGACCCTGGCAGCAGAAACAAGGTCAGGGGAGTAAAGGCAATTGAGAGAGGTTCTTGGTTCTACTTTGCTTCCGTGCTTGCCCTTTGGCCATCATCACATAAGGTTCAAAGGATATTCAGCGTCAGAGTCTCGCTAGTTGCAAGGCCAACAAACCCTAGAGAAATCTTATAAAAAATTAAGGAATCGACAGCAGGTGACTTCTTGCATTCCTTCATTCTAGTAATGTCAACCTCAGAAACGCCTTGTCCGACTACCCTACGTAACTGTACCTCCCCCTCGTGGGACCAGCAGGTGGTATGGTGGCTAAGGCTGCAGGACTTCCACATGGCTGACCGTGGTTTGAGCTGTGGATCGGGCAGCTTACTTTCTAACTTTCCAATTCTCTCTCTGGTCAACTTCAAAAAAAAAAAAGAAAGAAAGAAAGAAAAGAAAGAAACAATTACAGTTAATAAATAATTGTTTCAAAAAAAAAAAAAAAGAAAAACCTTTACCTCCCCCTTCTAACCTAACTCATCCCCCTGGGGGACTTATCACTGTCTGGAATTGTTTCCTCTTCTCTGGAATGTAAGCTCCCTGGATTCAGGAACGGTGAGGGCCTATTTTTGCAGTTGTATTTTCAGTGCCTGGCACACACTTTGGTGTTTAATATTTATTGCACAAATAATTCAGTGCCAACCAGGCTACAGGCTATTAGAAGTAGAAGTGAAAAAGCATTCTCTGTACAGTCCACCCCCAACTCCTATGTTCTGCATCAAACAGCCTTCAGTGAGGCAGAGCTGAGCAGACAGTAGGCAGAAAAGACCTGCATTTCCATCCTGGCTTCGCCTTTGTATCCATTTGTTATTTTATCCCCTTTGGTTTTCAGTTTTTATGTCTTTAAGGTAACCCTACTACCTAGCTCTCCCGTTATTATGAGTGAAAATCGTGCACAGAAAATTTCTCAGGGTAATTATGAGTGGACTTGTACATAGAAAGGAATTAAAAAAAAAACTATTAAAATACCGTACAGATGTTACTTTTGACCAATATTGTCCTGTATTCAGCATGGTATTAGGTGGTACTGGGAGGCAATTTATAGAGCATGTGGGCTTTGAAATTTCATGGATTTGGTCTAGTTCTCTCTGCCAGTTATCAGCTGTGTTCAGATTATTTTAGTTCACATTATCTATTTGAACCTGAGATAAATGAGTATAATAGCTACTTCAAAACATTGCTGTTATGAATGAAATAATATGCTTACCTAGCCTGGTACACAAAAATATAATTATCAGGGACCAGCAGTTAGCATAATGGCTATGTTGCTGGACTCCCATGTAGTAAACTGCGGTTCGCGTCCCAGAACCAGTGGCTTAAAACTCACGCTGGGCGCGTGTGCGTGCGTGCCCAAGATCCCGAGAGGAGAACGGAGGAGAAGGGATTGCAGCGTGGCCATCCCCCCTGGGGGGTGATTTCTCACTTTCTGTCTCTCTGGCGAGCGCACGCGCCCTATAGCAAAAACCTCTCAAAAAAAATGTAATTATCAAATGTTAGCTTTTAGAATTATAAGAAACTTACAAGCTCCTTTTAACTTAATCCAGAAACTTTTCTTTAAAGAATTATTTGTTTCATTTTATTTATTATCATCATTTTTTGACTAGAAAAAGAAAGGGAAAGTGAGAAAGCAAGCCACCAGGTCCAGGACTCAAATCGTATCGACCATGTAGGAGTCCAGCGCCCTAACCACCACACCACCTGCTCACCCCAAATCCAGAAACTTTCTATGCATCAGTCAAAACCAGAGAGAGGGGCTGGCAGGTGGCGTGGTGGTTATTAAGGTGCTGGACTCCCACATGGCTGACAGTGGTTTGAGTACCAGATCTGGTAGCTTGCTTTCTCATTTTCCCTTTTTCTCTTTGTCTCTGGTCAAATTGAAGAATAACAATAGAAATATTACAAATAAATAATTATAGAAAAAAGAGAGAACATTTAGCAATGGGATTCCATAGTCATGGATTTGTACACTGGTGGTGTATGTCCTTCATAAGCTTCTCAAAAAGGATCTTAAACAGTTGTCCTCTCTCCTGAAGACCCCTTAGGAACATAGGAACATCCTTTACAAAGTGTCATAAGAGGTTGATGTTGTTTTTTGTTTTTTTTTTTTGAGAGGTTTTTGCTATAGGGCACATATGCTCACCAGAAGGGCAGAGAGAGACAGAGAGACAGAAAGTGAAAATCATCCCCCAGGGGGGATGGCCACGCCGTAATCCCTTCTCCTCCATTCTCCTCTTGGGATCTTGGGCACGCACACACACGCACCCGGCGTGAGTTTAAGCCATTGGGTTCCGGACTCGAACTGTGGTTGACTACATGAGAGTCCAGCGACATAACCATTATGCCAACTGCTAGTCCCTCAATGTCATTTTTTTAAACTTTATTTATTTATTTACTTATTTTAATTTGACCAGAGAGGGAGGGAGGGATGGAGGGGGAGGGAGAAGAGAGAGAGAAAGAGAGAGAAAGCCACCAGATCTGGGACTCAAAAACCATGGGAGTCCAGCACATTCAACCACCACACCACCTGCCGGCCCCAAGGCTGATGTAATTTGTATAAAGTCCTTATGCTCTACAAGTTTATTTTCTTTAAAAAAAATTTTTTTTAAATGAGAGAGGTTTTTATTACAGGGCATGTTACTCACTGGAGAGAGAGAGAGAGAAAGTGAGAAATCATCCCCAAGGGGCGATGGCCACACCACACTCCCTTCTCCATTCTCCTGAGATTTTGGGCACACAGGCACATGCACCCGGTGTGAGTTTAAGCCACCAGGTCCAGAACTTGAACCAGGATAGACTACATGGGCATCCAGTGACATAGCCATTATGCCATCTGCTGGTCCCTAGAAATATATTTTCTTTTTTTTAAGAATTATTTTACTTTTTAAATTTTGTTTATTTATTCATTTATTTCAATTTGACCAGAGAAGGAGAGAAAGATAGAGAAAGTGAGAAAGTAAGCCACCAGGCCTGGGACTCAAACTGCGGTCAACCATGTGGGAGTCAAGGGCCCTCAGTCACCATGCCACCTGCTGGCCCCCCTAAAAGTATATTTTCTAATCTCGGATGATTGGAAGGTATATTTGGACTAACTTTGCCCCTTTCCTTTTCTAGCAGAGCAAGTTGTTCTTGTTTGGTAAGTTACGGTTCCAGAAGTCTCTCAACATGACTTTCCTATTTCTCTTCTCTATAGAGGTCTGGGGAGTGAAAAAAACTGTGTTATCTAGCAGTAGCATCACTGCTAGATAACTCTTTGAAGTCCAACCCCAAGAACTGGAGGAATGACAAAAATAATAACCCTTAAGCATCAGTCCTTATTCTCAGCACATACTTAGAACCCCCACACCATGCTGGGGTTATCTTGAAATTTTTTAAAATTATATTTCATTTAAATTTATTTATTTATTTTAATTTGACCAGAGAGAGGTAGAATGAGAGAGAGAGAGGAAGAGTGAGAAAGCAGGCCACCAGGTCCAGGACTTGAACTGAGTTCGGCTATGTGAGAGTCCAGCACCCTTAACCACCATGCCACCTGCCAGCCCCAGGGTATATTGAATTCGACTTTGCCAAAGATGCCCAGTGATGCTGCCTGTTTTCATGCCCTGGCCTGCAGGGCCCAACAGTGAGCATGGTACCAGGGGTGCTGTTTATTTCTTTACTAGTCTCTGACCACTTCCCACCAATGGACTTAAATGACCCCACATAAAAAAAATAGATTAATAAAGGGCCAACAGGTTGTGTGGTGGTTAAGGTGCTAGATACCACATGACTGCATGGTTTGAGTCCTGGATATGGCAGTTTGAAATACACGCCAGCTGGGGCCAGCTGGTGGTGTGGTGGTTAAGGTGCTGGAATACCTACATGGCTGATGATGGTTTGAACCCCAGATCTGGTGGCTTGTTTTCTCACTCTCCCTCTCTCTCTGCCTTTCTCTCCAAAACTCATGTAAAAAATCATAATAATAAATAAAATAATTCTTTAAAAAAATATGCCAGTTGTGTATGCATGCTTGCCCAAAATCCAGAGATTGGGGCAGGGATTACTGCATGGCCATCTACCCTAGGGGGTGATTTCTCACTTTCTCTCTCTCCAGTGAGTGTACACACCCTGTAGCAAAAGTCTAAAAAAAGAAAAAAAAAAGATTAATAAAACTCTTACTGAGGACCAGCAGTTGGCGTAATGGCTATGTTGCTAGAGTCCCATGTAGTCGACCGTAGTTTGAGTCCTGGACCCGGTGGCTTAAACTCACGCTGGGCACATGTGCGTGTGTGCCCAAGATCCTGAGAAGAGAATGGAGGAGAAGGGATTGTTTATGGGTTTATTTATTAATTTTTTAAAATTCATGATAGAGCATGTGTATGTGCACAAAAGAGTGAGAGAGGAAAAGAGAGAGAGAGGAAGAGTCAGGAGCACCCTCTGCGGGGTCTGGTCACACCTCAATCCCCTTCCTCTATTTCTCTAGTCTGTCAGATCTTAGACAGGAACCAAGTGTGTTTAAAGCTGACTGGTTTCCTCCCCAGATTTTTTTTTTCTTTTTTTTGCCATAGGGCACATGTGCTTGCCAGAAGAAGAAAGAGATGGAGAGAGGGGGGGCATGGCCACACCACAATCCCTTCTCCTCCATTTTCCTCTCGGAATTTTGGGTACACATGTGTCTAGTGTGTTTTTCAAGCTGTCGGGTTTGGGACTTGAACAGCACAGTCAGCCATGTGGGATCCAGCCACCTTAACCACACTCCATGGCTGGCCCCACCTTTTTAATTTTTTCAC